GTGTGTGTGTGTGTGTGTGTGTGTGTGTGTGTGTGTGTGTGTGTGTGCGCGCGCGCGCGACCCCGGGCGTTCTCCGTCACCCAGCCCTGCGTCCGTGCAAGGGGACTGCCACGCAAACGACAGACTTTCGGCCGGTGGACAGATTTGTCCTTCCCCTCATGTTCGTGTTCAGTCTCTGTGGAGGCTTTCTTTCCCATTCAGACGACAGCGCGCACTTCTCTGGTCTACGCAGTGACACCACTCTGGAAGTTGGAAGCCTCGAACTGAGATGCGAGTGCAGAACAAAAATGAGTTAGGGTCATTACAATTGAAGTGTTCTTCTTATGGCGGAAATGTTGACTCTGAGTGTTGTGTAGGAATGTGCTATGAGAAACTTCCAAAGAGCACCATTCACAATTCGGCATTTTCAAAGAATGTTCCAGCCCTCAAAAGGGCAACCCTTTAGAGTCCGTGTTGGCTTTTATTAAGACCTTGTAGTGATGGGGAATACTGATAGAGGTAAGGAAGAGGCATGGAAAGGACCAGAAGGCAAAAACACCAGCCAAACAAAAGCCAGGAGGAAAAAAAAAATGTTCTTTATCGATATAGACTTCACAATGCCATCAGACATCTTTGAAAGTTAGCCTCTGAACTCTTAATGCGTATGTTCTTTCGTCTCTCCCTGGTGTCTTTAAGATTACCCTGTCTGGGCTCTGAAATTTCAGGAGTGATTTCTACCCACACCAAGTTGTGAGTATTTATAGAAATTTCTACAAGAAAAAAAACACGAAAACAGTCAAATGATGAAAAGGAACATGAGCTAACACGAGCGATGGTCAGTCGCTTGAGTTCAGCCCTCCCTGTCACTACTGAACCACCCCTGGAAAGAAATGAATCAAATGCTTGTTTTCCTGCCTCTCTTTTCCACTGTTATTGTGCTTTGTTTGGCAATAGTTTTCTCTCATAAACTCATTGCTTCTGTTGTTAAGAATGAAGGTTTTGTGTTTAAAATTTACTGCATTTGCAAGGATAGTTTCGCTGAAGTCATGCACCATTAACTAAGATGAAATATTGGTATTTATTGTCCTACTTCCTAAGGCTGTAGCTTGTTTTACTCTTTGTGAATTTGCATCGAGTCAGTCGTATGCCACACTACATCATTTTAGTTTATTTGAAATGGCATTTATGTTCCCTCATGTTCCTCATCAAATGGGGTCAGATTCTAGGAGATGCCATCTCTCTCAGGTAGACTCTTGTCTGCCTTCCTTTATGAGATGGTTTTCCCTTCCCCTGTCTCTCAGAGAGGCTGACAGAATCTAGGCATAAATCAATTGGAAACCACTCTCTTATTTTATTATTATTATTTTTTTGGATCAGTCATTTTCTGTGATTAGTTTGTGTAAATTAGATATTAACTGCACTTCTTTAAAAAAAAAAATACACCTCCCTGTTACCTCCTTGAAAGATTCACTCTGTAGGCCTTTGTCAATAGGCTCTAGCCTGCAGATAAGGAAAAAGGAAAAAAAAAAAAAAGAAAAAAAAACAGTACGTGCCTGAAAAACAACAAAAAAATTTTGTAACATTTAAAAAAGAAACCCGAATAGCCTTTAATTCTTTAATATGCTTAAATTTTATGTAAATTGGTTTTGCCACATGTGTTTGTTCACGTTCTAAATGACTTCATGGGATTCTCACAGTCGGTGTCTTTGTGTCCCGTGCATACTATGGGCTTGTGACGTAAGCGCTTCATCTGGTCAGTGGTCGCTTTGATATTGTACTGCAGCTGGGAGGGGGCTCCGGAACCTGCCCCCGGGTGATAAGGTTCCTCTCGGTAGATTGGAGATGGGGGCGGGGGGGCAAATTCTCACACACGTTTTCTTAAACTATTTGCAGAAACTTTCAAAAGGCATTTGGTTAAACCTCTTGGCAGTACAGTATTCTTGTATTTGTTAATGTCTGTGTTTAGGTACTGGTACCTTTTTGTTTAAAAATGTTCTAAGTGTTGGCTTTAAAGTGAATTTATCTTTAGTATGATAGTTATATGAAAATTATAGGGTTTGTGTGCAGAGAATTTTTTTATAAAGTGCTTTGTAAAAAAAAAAAATGTATTCTAGCTTTCGCGGTACATATGTGTGATAACTTTAATATCCATGACAGTTAAGTGCAATTATTTCATCACTCTAAAAATGCTATTTTTGTGTCAGTTCCTGCAGGTGTTTTCATGTCTTTGCAAAGTGACACATTTTGATGCCTTCTTGATAAAGTGGTAGACATTTTGTAGCTTTCTAGAAACTTTGTATTCATACGGTATCAATGAAAAATAAAGAAAATGAAAGTGTGGGTTACCTTTTTTATCTGCAAAAGTGTATGTTGTTGAAAATAACATGTGATCATGTGTTGTGGGTGAACTGTGGGGTTCATGATTCAGGTGTGTGCAGCACAGCCCTGCATGAGAAAGCCTTTGATTCACTAGGTGTTTACTGTGTGCTGGGCACTGGCCAAGTGTGTTGATACGATGTGGATATATTGTTTCCTTTGATTCTCACAATAGTTCCAAAGACGGTGATATTATTACCCCCAACGGAGGCTCAGAAAAGGTGGATTACCCAGTCATGACTGGTGAGTGGTGGAGCCTTAAATAGGTCACCCTGATGCTCAGGCCTGGACTTGTCCACACCTTATTGAGGCCCTAATGTATGTCAGGCAGTGTTAGAGTCACTATTTTCTCTAAACCACATTTTCTTGAATAAAGGAGTCATTTCCTATTTCCCAATAAAGAAATTGAGGCCCAGAGAAGTTAAGCCCTTGTTAAAGTCATGAAAGCTAGTGACAAGAATTGAGAGGTGGTAATGCCGCCTGCCTTGCAGTTCTAGTTCTACCACTGTCTGTATGGCACCTCTTGCCCTACCCCTCCTCCTCTAAAACAAGATGCTTTAATACATTAAAAACATCTTTTGTTCGTGCCTGTGGTTCGTTCCAGTCAACTTAAGTTCAGCAAAGATGGGGAGATGCACTAGGTAAATATCACTGAGTAAAGGGATTTAAAGAGCAAAGGGGAGGATAAATAAAGGCCTCTAGTAAGTTGAGGGATCAAGCAACTTTGCTGTGAACGCCTGATCATTTCTTTCTGCCTTACTGTTGCAGCAGACTAATAAACATAGCTACTACTTATGGAAAGCCAAATTAGCTGCTGTTGTTAGGTTGTCAGTGAGCAACTGATAAAATTCCAATTAAACCCCAATGTTGTGTAATCCTGTGAAGCCTTAGGGGTTTTTAAACTGCCTTTAAAGACACCTTTGTTCTGTTTAATATCCTATATGTCAGATATATCTAGGTTGTTTTAACTAGCAAATTGGCTACCAGCAACCTAACTGCATTTTTTTTTTTATAGTAAACATTCTCCTATTTGCTTTGGCTCCCAAGAAGCCCAGACTGATAAGTTGTCTTCTGTGCTGATAAGGAACCAACTAGAATGTAAAGGCATAGAAAGGTTGAAAACAAAGGATGAAAAATATACTGTAAAACAAAAGAAAGCTGATGTAGCTATATTTTTTTCGCACTAGTATATATAGCTCGAGGAAAAAATTATTACTAGAGCTCATGGGGATTATTTCAAGATGATACAAATTTTAATTACCCAGGAAAAATAAGGTCTCTAAACTTATATGCACCTAATAACAGGTTCAAATTTATAAAGCAAAATTTTAAATTCCATAGTAGGAAGTTTTTGAACAACTAAACTCATTGGGTTATTTATAGATAGAGCAGACCAAACACACACAGAAACACAGGTCAGATATAGGGGATTTGAACACCATAATTTAATGTGCTGTTCTAGTTTATAAAATATAAAGCAATGAACACAACAATTGGGAGCCTATACATTATTTCCAAGCACACACTGAATTTTTATGAAAATTGCATTCAAGGCCAGGGGTTTTGAAATTATAGTCTGTGGGCCAAATCTGGCCTGCTATTTGTTTTTGCAAATAAAGTTTTATTAAAACACACTACTAGCCCTTACTATTTACTTGCTGTCATGGCTGCTTTCCTGCTACAATGGCATAGTTCATTAGTTGTAACAGACCCTGTAGCTCACAAAGCCCAAAATAATGGATTGCTACGTGGCTCTTTACAGTAAAAATGTTTTTCCAACTCCCATTCTAAGCCAGAAAATCCAGGTCCTAAAAAATGTCTGTTTCCCATCCACCAGTATGTAGGTATTCTGGCAAATGGCTATCTATTTCTTTGATGTCCTTGATGTGGCATCATAGTATTCTTCCTCAAGTATTCCAGCCTTCCCTTTGATCAATGGGTTATGGGTCTAAGAACAGGCTTAGATCTGGAAAGGATGAGTGATGCATTGTGATTTTTCATTGCAGCAGCTGACATCTTCTCACCTAATCTTGGTATTTTATGAATAATACAGTCAAGCAACACCTTTGACGGGTGCCCACCTGTCTTGTCCCTATCTTGCCATGGTCCACTAGCCATCTTCA